TTGAAATTCAGATGTACGATTGCATAGATTTGTTACAATGTTAGTGCATCTTTGTGGTATCAAAGATTGCAAAATCAATTAGTCCTTGCTTTTGGGGCGGGGAACAATGGAGGGGATTTGACTCTCAAAATTGCCTTCTCCTAAAGGGATATACTGGGGCTTTAGAACAATTATTATTTAGACATTCCCTCAAGTCAAATACCCTGCTGCTCTTCCCCGTTTGAGTTGGGTGTGGGATTTTCTACTGAAAGTGCATTATTTAGTGGGTGTGCATAAAACGAAGACCTAAAGACCCAAAAACGACGACCACAACATCGTTCCAAAAGTGCGTTAGTCAGCAAATACGTTTACCATTCATTYAGAACTTCGGCAAAAGCTTTCCCATTTTTCTTCTGCTGTTCTGTTAGTATTGGTATATGCCCAAAGAAAAAGCTGAAAAATACGTAGGGGGTAATTTACACTTAAGCTTATTAAATAAGTTATCATTGAACCGGAAACAAAATATATCTACGTATAGTTACGCTAACAAACTGACCTTGCTCGCTTTGGTGTTGGAAAAATGTCATATTTGCAGTGCTGCAAATAAATATGTAAACAGAATGTGAGGAATGTCACGAGAAGAATGCAAATCAAAGCAGCAACAATCCATCCTCCTGTAAAAAGAATCGAAGTCATTTTCTAGCTTAGCTCTACAGCTCTAGTTCAGCTCTAGGAGGTCCGAGTCCGCTCTCGTYCTAACTTTCCACAGGGAAACCGACATACATAAACGGAATGCCTGCATGGCCTCGCCGGTCGCTGAAAGATATAGTTTGTGGTTGAAGGAGAACTCACTTTGAGGTGTGAATGGGAGCTACAAACTTTGATTCGCGTTCCTTAAAAGGAAAAATTACCTGCCTCCAAGTCTACAAAAAACCTTTGGATGAGTTTCAAATTAAACAGGCAAAACACCATTGTGATAGATACGTGTGAATACCATTTTAAAAGGTGGACACCCACTAAGAAATGGACAGTCAGTTAAAACAAAGATTATGTCATTACTTAAGACCAAAGTTAAAGTGCGCATGACACCTTTTAGAAAATCACTTTTATCCTAAACAGTTGTGTAAAAAGATAAATTTAACACCTTAAAAAAATTTTTGAAATAACGTTCCGGACGTTAATCCTTCGTTGGAGTAAAGAGGAAGTTATTTCACATTTTTTTACGGTGTTAAATTTATCTTTTTACACAACTGTTTCTTTAGAAACGCCGACGCAGCTCACACTAGTTGACCGCTAGTTTCCACCATTTTATCCGAACGTAACACGCTGCCAAGCACTTCTATGGAGAAAGAAATAGATTTTGAATTGTATTTTCTGAGTTATAGACATTTGAAAATTGTAAATGCAAATGAAGTGCCGTCAACTAAGGAATTGATGCAGACTTTTTACATTGTTTGTTGTAAGCTACTCGTTCTTGAAGAGTTCAAAACATCAATATAGTAATAATTTTGAGATGAAAATGTTTTTTCTCAATGTACCAAAAAGAATAACATCCTCTTTCATGATTTGTATTTTTTTAAAAAGATCATTCCTTAGTAGACGTCACTTAATTTTCATTTTCTAAGTTTCAATTGCCGATAACTTAGAAAATAAAATGTACAATCGAATTCTTTCTTCACAGATGTACTTAGCAGTATTTTCTCATGTGGACTATTATGTATTCTGATGTATTTGARGCAATAGGACAATTCATGGATATTTCAGCCAATAGCTAGAAATAGCTACCAACAATGATAATAGAACGTCCTACAAACTTTGAGAATCATAAGAAGCCACAAAGCATCTCAAATTCACAAAATTTTACAAAGAAATGGATACTCATGAGGTTGAGTGGTTATTCTTCGTTTCGAAGTTTGTTTTGACTTCGTTCTTTCCTTCGATCTAAGGGGCTGAGCTTTTTGTAAACTCGGTCAGTCATTGGCTGATTTGCAGCAAGATCGCAGAAAAACCTATAAATCCTAGCGATTTCTTTTGAACATTGAATTCGCGATGCCAACRGTTTCTGCTGTAAACCTCACCATACTGTACTTTTCTTTGTATTTTTTTTTTAGTTTTTGAATGGATGTATCTTTTTTTTCAACGTATTATTCTGAAACTCGGTAAATTTCCTGATTTCATGCAATCCTTTTCATTGATGGTGATTTTCTTCCCCCTCGCTGCGTAGATGCTGAATGGATAAATTTTCCGTAAAATGACATATTTCACATAATGTCCCAAGTTTTCTTGAGATTTTATTTTTTTCAACTTGGACAGCATTCAAGAATGAATTTTGTTGATATTAAAATTAATGTTGATTCTAAAATTACAAATTTGACAGAAAATAGAAGGAACCGTTAGTAATAATCAAAGGAAGGGAAAAAGCACATTTATAGCTTGCATGTTTAATTAACTCGATCCAAAATAGACAAGAACAAAATGAGAAAGAGAGAAAGAGATGAGTTTGTGAGCCCCTTTAATTATTCGACGAAAAGGGTTTCAATTTCCAAGCGTTCAAATGGAACTTATAATCAATGGACTGACGCAAATAACAAAAATTATATGAGACAGAGGAGGGCACATTAGGCATACACATATTGAAATAAGGAGAGATTTAATGAATATTTTTTCATAATTTTTCCTTGACATCGTCCCATTGAGATGGCACACGCTATGAACCGCAGATAAGGCTAATGAAATATCTGAAATTGAAGATAATTAAAAGAAGGTGCATGTTTATAGATCGAATGAAAATAAACTTTTTAATAAAATGATGAAATTCCGATACTGGTTGATTTTAGTCAGTACGATGCTTTTGAAAGGGTTTGTAAGCCAAAACATTCTTTCTGTGAGATTTCCAGAATGAAGGACTGAATGCTGCAGAGATGGTTGACAGAGACTGGACTCATCTCTATCGTGCACATTTAAAATAAGTCTTATATGTCAAAATTAATTTATCACAACTTATTTTTTCCATTCCTGATCTAAGATATTTCTTTGGTGATAATATAATGAGGCAGAACATAACATTTCGTGCTCACTATCGAGAACGAACAGGCGACAAAGTCACAAAAAAACATGTATACTTATTGTTTTCATCAGCTAGTGTTTTGGTTTTTATTACACTAGTTTTTACAATGCAGTATTTTAAATAGTGGCTCGTTTGAAATATTGCAAAATAATTTTTGTAAAAGACAATCTTTTGCAATGCAATTGCAATGCAAAGTCTTCTTTGCTTTCTTTGTGTCTCRCGAATATTCATGTCTTCACTGTTCTCACAGTACTTACCCAAATAAAAAAATTCCGGAATTCCGCCGGAATTCCGGGCTGGAATACCGGCGGATTTCCTGACATTCCAGCCGGAATTCCACCGGATTTCCGCCGGTATACCGCCGGAATTCCACTAAAATTCCGCCCGGAGTACCTGGAATTCCGCGGGATTAAGGCCGGCATTCCGGGGAATTCCAGATAGTCCGGGCGGTATTCCAGCGGTATTCCGGCGGTACTCCGGCGGTACTCCGGCGGTATTCCAGCGGTTTTCCGGGCGRTRTTCCGGCGATATTCCGGTGGTATTCCGGCAATATTCCGGTGGTATTCCGGTGATTTTCCGGTGGTATTCCGGTGGTATTCCGGTGGTATCCCTGGGTATTCCGGTGATTTTCCGGTGGCATTCCGGTGGTATTCCGGTGATATTCCGGCGATATTCCGGTGGTATCCCTGGGTATTCCGGTGGTATTCCGATTATTTTCCGGTGGCATTCCGGACATTCCAGCCGGAATTCCACCGGATTTCTGCTGGTATGCCGCCGGAATTCCACTAAATATTCCTTCCGGAGTAYCTGGAATTCCGCGGGATTAAGGCCGGCATTCCGGGGAATTCCAGATAGTCCGGGCGGTATTCCAGGCGGTATTCCGGTGGTATTCAAGCGATTTTCCGGTGGTATTCCGAAGGTATTCGGCGGTATTCCTTCCCAGTTACCTGGAATTCCGTCGGAATGCCGGCCTATAATCCCGGTAAATTCCTGGTATTCCAGGCTGCAATTCCGACGGTATTCAAGTCGAATTCCAATTGTATTCCGGTCGTCAAGACAGTATGCCGCCAGATTATCCTTCAGTGAAGGTCTTGAAAGTAATAGATGACTCAGCTTGCGTGATATCTTTAAACTTTTTAATCAAATAAGCCAGAAAATCAGACTTCAGTCGACAAATGTAGAGAATAAAAGAGGGTAGCAAGGTACGCCTAGTGGAACTTTTTTCTGCAGTAAAATTTTAAACGTGACCAAAAAACATAGAACTTCGTATTCGATTGGAATGCGATGTCTCACAGGCGTACACATGTCATGACACCGGCCTAACTTTCCTCAAAGAAATCGGCCGGTGTCTGCTTCCCGACTTTTATTTTTCGACATTTGTCTGTTATTGACTCTTTTATTCGAGCCCAGCTTGTGGCTCTCTCCTCTGCGTTTTGTGCCGGAAACTCTTTGAATATAGTGGCTGAAATAAAAGGAAAAAAAAAACCTATAATTAAGCTCATATAAATACTGCTTGCTTATTTTCATAATGCATGCATAAAGTAAACCATCGAAAGGCTTCAGCCATTCATTATATAATTGATTCATTAGGAATGTGAATATGACAATTCTTTTTTAATTTAACAAAGAATTGTCGAGATGCTAGAGTGGTCTAAATAATTTCGGGCAGCGTCCCCGATGGTTCACTTTAAGGACCCATTCGAAAAATGGCTAAAAAAATTCGTTTCAATTGCCATCAGCTATCAGCTATCAATTGCAATCAGCTATATCTTAATAGATTAACCTACCTTTCAAGGCGCTTGTGCGCAACGGGCAGAGTCTTTTTTTCCTCTCCGATCCAATAAATGTCGAAGATCTTAGTACGTCTGCAGTAAATAGCAGCTATGGAAAACGTAACATCAAAACATCATGTTTTAGAAACGTGTAATCATATTTATGAAACAACTCACATCGACCACTTATCGACCATTCTGAAACGTCGAGATGTATAGTCAAACGACCTGAAGCGTGAACATTAATCCAATCATCAATCGAGATTTAAAACTATTTTTGTTTTGAATATTGAAAACTTCGTATCAAGAATGAATGGTTCGAATCGAATAATCAAATCAATATTCGAAGAATGAGTACATTAATTATGTCTATGTGTTCACGCTTCAGGTCGTTTGACTGTAAGTATGAACCGTTAAAAAACTTATACTCACTTCCAACAAGTTCAAGGCGAACTTCTTTCGSTCAGTGGAGCCATCTCGCGCTTTAATGTACAGGCTTCTTTTTACCTTAACTTTCATATCAGGGTCACCAAGAGTGATCCAGGTTTCCGCTGCTGCAGGACTTGGTGTATCTAAATAGGCACAAAAGTGAAATCAGTTCTCTGGTAAATAGCATGGATAAGAAGCGTCCAGTACGAGAGTTTGAATTATTTTGAAGGATATAGATCATGTTGAAATTAGCAATAATTGGCAATTATTCARAAATTAACGTTACATTTTATTATACTATATAGCTCATACCGGAAAGTGATTCTTGAACTGAGGATGAGCTACAAGCTTCCTGAGATAACGGCGGTGCGGGTGGTGTCGCTGGTGTCGCTGGTATGTGGAAATTCTGATGGTTCTAAAGAGAACAAAATTAGCCTTAATCTTTGCAGTTCTTGATCCATGAAAAAATTGGATAACAAATGTTATTTTTCATTTGCCTACAGGTGGAT